GGGATCGATCCCCGCACAAGCGGCAACAAACCGTAAACAAGCCACACGTGGCACCCGGGTGACACACGGTCCCGAAATGCAACCCCGTCCAGAACCCTAACGTCGCTAACACAACTCCCTATCCCATGTGCATGCGCAGACCATCACGCAGAGCGAGGGCAGCCTCCGTGGCGTTTGCTTGGCAGACGGGCCGCGACAAATCCCACAAACCCAAATCGATGGGGACGGAGTTCCCATCCCGGTCGAGAGGTCTAGCAACAAACCCTCGTCGAATGCGACCCCGACCTCGAGCAGGAGGTTGTGGATGATGCAGATCGCAACGAATTGCTGCGGGAGGTTATTCATATTCGTCTTGTGATGACGAAGGAATAACCTCCACATCCCCTTCAGTCGTCCGAACGCTCTCTCCACGACCCCTTTTGTAGTCTTCTGACGTGTGTCGAACAGTGCCACGTCCCCCACCTGCTTCGAGCCCCCGTATGGGACGACGATCCACGTTCGCGGCGCGTAACCATTGTCCCCCATCAGGTACCCCGTCGTCCTCACCCCTCCCGGGAGGACGATGGGGTCCGCATTGAAGATCTCACCCGATTCTGCTCGCCTGATGATTGAAGAGTTCCGCAGCACGCGCTGGTCGTGGACGCACCCGGGATAACCGACGAAGACGTCGATTATCCGCATGTCGTGGTCAACGACAACCTGTGCCACGACCAAGAACTGCTGCTTCCGATCAAAGTAGTTTTCGGACGGCGCGTTCGCGGGCTTGCCCACATAAATGTGGGTGCAGTCAATGGCGCCGAAGCAATTCGGGAAACCTTTCCCGCTGAAAGCTCGGAGGACCTGTAGGAGACGACGACCGGATGAAATTGCGATCTTCTCCGGATACGCGGCCAAGATGGCAGTTGTCAACTTCACATCTTGGACGGCCTTGATGCCTGAAGACCTCTCTATGCCGAACAACGACGTGCTGCTCTCGCCCACCAATACACTGCGTACGCCACTATATGGTTGGGCTGCAATGGCTCCCGATAGTGAGTTAGTGTGCGATGAAGGAAAGGACTGCACGCCGCCACTATGTCATTGAAGACCATCCGCGTCATCCGCAGCTTGTCATGGCAATACTCGTCGGTTGCATCGTCGACGATGGTTAGGTCCCTCCATGTGGCACCTGTCCTTCTTTTCACCCACCACCTCGGCGTCTCCCTCGGCATCACACCCGCCATGATGGCATTCGACAACAGGACGGGCACATCCCATAGACCTGGCGAGGAGTGCTCGTCCATCAAAGCCTGGGCTATGGCGGCCTCCAGTCTGCCAAGGTCTCTTCCGCTGGCCCGCCGCAGGCCGTTCACCGTCTGCATGTGCCGAGAAACTGCAAGCAATGCCGTTCCTAACAGCGACCTCTCCCTAGGTGTCAGCCTCCACGCCCCTGCCGCATCGCCGATCCCGTTTTCCATCGCTGCGAACAAACCGCTAACACGCGCAAAGCTCGCTTGCGGGCTGGTGGGATATGGCGAGCAAAGTCCGAAGGCGGAAGGGCGCGCAAAGCTCACTTGCGGGCTGGCGGGCTATGGCGAGCACAGTCCCAAGGCTGAAGGGTGCTGCCGATGCAGGTCCGCGTGAATTCAAATTCAAATTCGATCCGCCGCGCGCTTTTTTCACTGCGATGACTCCCGCCTTCGCGCGCCCAGTAGGCTGCCCGCCCAAACGCTGGTGTCCCTGAAATTGCATGTCCCGCGGGCCCGTGGGCATGGACAACTTCTTGTCCGCCGAACCGCCTTCACGGACATCCGTGGCAGACAGGCCGAGAATCTGACAACCGCCCCTCCTCACCTCATATGTAAGGGCGAGTAAGTGTAGGGTGTTGTGGAACGAAAAAACAAGTTAGGGTAAATTTATCACCCTCGGCCAGTTAGGGCGCCCTTACAAAGTGAGGATTTTCTAGTGGTGTGGAACGAGGCCCACAGTCGGTATTCTGCTGGATGTGAAATTATAGTTGTATGTATTTTATTTTAGTTTTCATCTGCTTTGCGGTACTTTTCGAAAAGGGAACATAAGAAGAAGTAGGGGTAGGATCCTGACATGAACCGACAGTTGTGTGTGCCTTTATGTCCATTTCGTCCGGTTTTTGTCGGCAGTAGATGTCACCGCCACTTCAAGGGATTGAGCTCGTCGAGCAAGGGATTGAGCTCGTCGACCTGTTGCAATGAACCTAGGCTAGCCTGGCTAGGTTGTGGACCGGGTTTACGGACAGCTAGAAGACGGAGATTTTGTTCACAGACATAGGCATGATTGTCGAGTAATGTACGGGGATATCAGGGCATTAGCCGATATCGGAGACACACAGCTGATACGAAGTTCGATAGGAAGTGCTTAGGCATACCCGGGGCATATAAGCACGAGAGGCAAGGCAAAGGGCCTCTCTTTCGACAGAAACGCTCTCTTTGCAGCGTACCTTCCTGATGAATCTGTGCAGGCAGAAGAAACCGGTAGAAAGATATCTGCGTTGTCGAAGTTTTGGGAGATGGTGGCGATGGTGGTGAAGGAATTAGTGTGTGTGTGAAGTGGAACTCTGTGTACTCTTTGAAGATGGAGCTCATCCTGGCGGTTTTTTTCAAAGTTGTGTGTGCACTGGTTTTGTTCCTAAGTTCACATATGCTGACTCGATGAACTGCTGTTTCCTCCCTTATAGACTGTTTTGCCGCAGTCTACCTCTCTCTCTCTCTCTCTCTCTCTCTCTCTCTCTCTCTCTCTCTCTCTCTCTTGAGCACATCTTCTTTTGTTTATTTTTTTTGAAGTAATGGCAGATGCGGCATGTTTTGAAACCCTAAAGGCAAAAAAAACACGCGCTGGCAAAGAAACCACTCGCCAACTCAAAATGAGGGATTTCGGTCCAAAAGTATCCGTTGGGCATTTATTATTATTATTATTTTTTCCCCCTCTGACACCACGGTCGACCCCTGTAAATATGACACCCGGTCTTACACCACGGCCGTCGGTACTTCTGTTGCCTTTTCGAACTCAGTTCGGTTTTCTTTGCCGACGCATGTTTTTTTTGCCCATTCGATACTCAAAGGTGACATAAACGTACTCACACCTTTTTTTTTCCTTTCATGTTGAATTCGTTTAGTTTTTTAACTTTTTTGAACTTTTTTCTTGTTTTTTTTTTTTTGTTTGTTTTTTCTTTTTTTCCCCGGCCAGGCGTTTGCACGTTGGGGTCTGCGACCTGGCAGCCACCTCCCGTGTTAACCGCCGTGGTACTGTTTTCCAAGTGGGGAAACGTACTGGTGGCTTAGCAACAACCTGTTC